GTCGATTGTACCATAGTCGAGGGGGCCGATACAACTCCGACAATGTCAGGGTCGATCTTCTTCGCTCTGTAATATAGAGCCGCATAAGTTGGGTCGTTCAGAGACATACCGTGTAGCTGTGTGATGAGCTGTTCGACTTCTTCCTGCTTCTTGTTGTCCAGTTGCTGTGGATATGCCGATGCGATGGTGTCCTTGGTCTTGTTCTTCTTGGTCTTGTGGTGAGATCGCCAGCGGTCTTCATCATCTGATTCTTCTATTAGAGTGTCAGATTCTGAGTCGTCGTCGTCGTTATACCCTGCAAATAGGCGAGGTTTTCTAGAGCGCGTTCGCTTTTTGAGGAAGCCGAGATCTTCTTCGTCGTCAGAGTCGTCCATGTCGAATCGATTCCTAGGGAAGAGTACTTCAGCAGCGGCGATGATGCGTTCCTTCTTGAAAGGCACTGTAACGTCAATGTCAGTGGGATAGAGTTCGTAGAGCTTTCGCTCCAGTTGGTTTCGCAGCGTCTTGGGTAGTCCTTTCCAGAAATAGTAGTTGCTCTGTTGTTCGTTGATCTTGCCTTTTCCTAGGAGCCATCCGCCGACGCGAATGAAGTTGCGCTCATAATTCCTGAATTCGTCGATGTTGGAGATGGCGTCTTGTTTAGAAAGAGCAACGAGCTCCCTAAGGTCGCGAAGGGAGAATTTGAGGTCGTTCAGGTCGTCGTTGTATTTGCGCAGAAGTTCTCTCTTGAAGTTGTCCCAATCAGGGTTAGTGAAGTAGAGCATGCCCTCTATCACTTCCCTGACCGACCTAGAACAGTATCTCCTGATGAGGGAAACTTTGTCAGCGTCGTCATCGATGTTGTGCTTGCGGCATAGTTGTTCATAGTCCATAATAAAGTCCCGAATGGTGGTGTAGTCGCCTTTGAAGGTTTCTGGAGCATCTCTGCTCCGCCGTGGTGGCATGTCTAGCACTCCGCGTGCTTCGACCATAGTGTCCTGTATAAAAGTGTGAGTCTGATCGAATGGGTATAGTCCAAGAGAAAGCTGTAAGTCCGATAGGTTTGGAGGTTTGGTTCTTGATCCTGTGATGGGTGTTTGCGATACACCCCCTGCGGTGGTCACCAGTAATGTCGCAGACGGAAGTTTGATATGTGTGGATTGTGGCTGGCTGTGTCGAAGAGGCGAGGGGAATTCTTGAGGTGATAGGAGTGTACCACCGATTCTTCAGCTTCTTCTTGCAGAAACTTCCCTGAGGTCCCGGGCTATCTAAGTCGGGGATTGCTCAGTTGGCCGTCGGTTATTGAACCTGACTTGAATTTGATGAGACAAGCTTTGTGAGCTCGTCGGTGATACCTAAAGAGGTAATAAGACGGTTAGCCTGTATGGGAGGCTTGAGGGGTCTTGTGTTGATGTGTTGTACGACACGCCGTGCGTCGAAGTTCCTAGAGAAATAGAGAGAGGGATCAGTTGTTCCTTGGGTGGCGGAGGCGATAGAGCGTGGGAAACGGTTTCGAACAGCCTACGGTGGCTGTGTAGAGTCGATAGAGTCGATATAGAGTCGATAGGGAAGCTGTCCAGGCACTCGAGTCCTGACAGAGAGGGGTTCAGCAGACGACTGCTGGGCGCGTTTAGGGTGGAACTGATTGATTTCTCATTCATGCCGATTCGGCTACATTTTATACTCCTTAGCTAGGCCAGCTTTCTGAGTCATATTAGTAATCCTAGCAGTGCTGAGTCAGCTTCTGACTCAGCCGAGTCATGATTTGTCATGTGCTGACTAAGCTTGGGCACTGCTTGGTAATCCCTTTTCCTAATATGGTCAAACTTTCCTGGGCCAGTTTAAGGTACATGCTTGGTCTATTCTACTTAGATTCTATACTACTACATAACAGAGAGGCTGCAGAATGAATAAAAAAATGGAGGTTTTCGAGCAGTTCCGCACCTATTCACTTTAGGGGCGGGACATCATGGGTGGCGCTTCAGAGACAACCGCCCTCGGTTGTTCTTGGTCGCATGGTAAATGTTCATATTGCAGGAAAAGTAGTAATCTAACGTATTCCTAGGGCCTACTATCCTGCTTACATAGTCGTATCTTAGTGTTACTCACTTGCCTCTCCATACTCATCCTCGTTCCTAATATATAGTTCATACTCCGAGGTGTCTTCGTGGTCTTCAGCATGTTGGTCATGGTCGCTGAGTCTGTTTTGCACTTGGTTGTGCTCGTCCCATTGTGCGATAGAGAGGCTGGCTAATGCGGGGTAGACGCGTAGTAGGATGTTGTCGACAGGGGCAAGCAGGTTGGCACGCCGTAGGGTCCCTTCGATACGGAATGTTACACATTGTGCAGCGAGGTGAACAATGTCGGTTACCCTTCCGGAGATGGCGACATTGCTTCGCTCTATGGCGACGAGTATCCCTATGCGAATGTTGCCGACTACGGGGGCACATAGTTCCCAAGTGCGGAGCTCATAAGTGGGAGTAGGTGAGGCATAAAGTTGGTAAACA